TTTCAATAAAATTAAAAAATAAATTTTTGTGTTTGTCCTTTATTTCTTTCTTTGTTATTCGAAAACCCTTCTATTAATTATTTTTAAAATTTTCTTATTTTTAATTGAAGCAACTAAGCAGAACATGCAAATTATTTTTTTTTTTGCTTTCTACAGATATTTCAAACTTAGTATCTTCTATAAAAAATTATTGTTTACTTTTTGGTTTTAATTAATTAGCACTAATTGTTCTTCTTTTTTGACAATATTAACAAACAATTCTGAGTACATCCAAACAAGAATTATACAATATTATTATATATATTATTATCTTTAGTAGATACTTTAGAGCTTCTTGCTTGTCACCACTGTTTTTTATTTTCATAAACAATTTTTTAGCAATAAAGTCATACGATATTTTATTATCTAGACACAATACATATGTATTTTCGGATTTCGCTTATGGCTGAGATATGAGATACATAAATAAATAAAAAAATATTAAGAAATATGTTCTGAGTATTTATACACATTCTGTTTCAGTTTGTTTATACTCATAACTCACTTTTTTCCCCTGAAAAACTTGAATTCCAACGTGGTGACCACAGCGTCAGATACGAAAGACAACTGAATTTAAAATGAAAATATTTTTATATTTAAAGCATTTTTCAGAGCAAAAAGTCACACTTTTCAGCAGATAAGATACTTTTTGTTGTTGCCATTGCTTGTTTAAATAATTATTGTTTTTCTAAATTCAAAAAAGTAAAATAAAATTAACACTCTCGCCGATTAATTTACACTTAAAAATTAATTCAACTGAAATAAAACTAATTAGCTTCACTGATTTTTTTTTGTTGTTCTAGAACTTTTATTTCAAGTGACGTAGCAACTTTTATAAATATGAGTAAGCCTCAATAAACTAAAAGTTAATTAAATGCAAATATACACACATATATAAATATAATAATATCCAAGTGTGTACTTCACCGGTAAGCCCGTTTATTTTAAATTTAGTACTACTATATACGAGTATTGTGCTTGTGCGTGACAACGATTATCGCTCCACTCATCTCCACTATTTTATACATTTGAGTACACGTAATAATTTCCACAGGTACGGTTCCACAGCTACTTAATGAAACTACTATGAAATTTATTTTATCCTTACACAAGTGGCAAGACCCTTTCTAGTCTCTTAATGGCTCTCAAAATATTTATTACGAAGTAAGGCAAGTACCGGGCGCAAAATGAACCACTTACACATACATAGGTGATCTTAAGCAACATAAAAAGACGAATCGATTTCGTTATTGTCATCTATCTGTTTATAATTATAGACATCTGGCTGATTATCTATTTGTTTAATAATTCGCCTAATTTATATTTCTATATATTTCTTCGCTTATTTGCTAACATATAAAGTAGTTCCTACTTTTTTCAGTCAATCAAATAATCTTTGCGTAGGGACCTTTTTTGATACTTTCAAATACAGCATTAAACTTCAGTATCTCCAAAACTAGATAATTTCTCGAGATTATGGTATATAGCGTAATGGAACAAGTTTCTCAGAATTAATGACTGCTTAAATCTATTATTAAATCTTAGCGACCCAGAAATCGTCATCTAATCAATGCTGAAAATAGATGTATGTCTTATCTTATCCAAAATAATAGTTTTAAAAATATATATGCTGAAGAAATTATAAATACTTGACATTTAACAGAACTATCGGTGGACTTTCCGCATTTAAAACTTCGACAAAGAAAGGTAAACGTTGTTTCTAGTCGTATTGATCTTGTCTTCATTAATTTCTATGATAAAATACATGATTTTGACTTAAAAGTAAACGAGCAAAACATTTGGACTTTCCTTCCCACTAATTGTTTTTTACAATGATGAAATGGTTCATGGTGTTATGGTATTAAATGTTATATATCAAGGCGATCTTGTATAGTAATTAAAAAGAATGTCAGGTTAAAATATAATGACTGTTTGTTTTTTTTAGTAAATCATATATGAATCTCAAAATGAACACAGGCTCCTCGGGAAGGTATGCAGATCGGAGTTCAGTTATTGCTTAGTCTGATGAAGTGATAAACAATAATCCAGTCAAGGCGTGGAAAGGGATTATAAAGGAAACTCGCAGTTAGTAGAGAGTAAAAAAGCTCAAGTGCACTGACTGAACTAGCCTCAACATAATAATATAAAGAAAGGGATTTTTTAGTAATAGATATTGAAAAGAATTTCGTTGATGATTTCATTAGAAGAGACTTCTTTCTTTTTCCATAAGTTTTTTCAAGTGAATGTTAATTATTAAAAATTAAATCTGTTTTAATTATTCAATTATAAAAACTATTGTTTCCGGATTTCCCGAAATAGTTCTAAATAGAGTAAATGGTTTAGTTCAAATTTTATTTTATTCAAAACAATTAGTCTTTTATTAAATTTATAAATTAATTCTATACATTTTCACTTCGCAATAAATTATTTTTTTCTCATTTCATCGAAAAGTTTTTTACCCTCCAAACACGCATCCCAATTATCATCAAAACCAGGAACGTTTGTCTTAGCATTCTCCCACCATTTATTAACATTAGGGAATTTTGTGAGATCAATACCGCCCATTATCATCATGGAAACTGTTGCAACTAAAGCAAAATCAGCTATGGTCACATTATCACCAGCGGCATAAGCATGTCCATCCAAAAATGTATCAAGAAATCCTAAGTTCACTTCCATTTGTTTGAACTTCTCGGGATCAGCTGGTTGCTTCAATCTATACTGTGGATAAAAGTAGTCACCAAAACTTTTAGCTAGTGTTCCCATATCAAAGTATAAACGTTGGTTAACTACAGCGCGCTTTTTGGGATCCTTTGGATACAATGAGTCATTCTTGCCATATTTCTCAACCAGGTAACCCATAATGGCACGAGACTCCCAGATCGCAAAACCATTATCAACCAATGTTGGAACGGTGTGTTGTGGATTTATTTTCACATACTCTGGTTTAAGTTGTTCACCTTCCAATAAATTCACGGTTTTTTTGTTAAGAGTGACGCCAATGGCTTTAGCTGTCATCTCAACGGCACGGCAAGGCGCTGAATAACGTAGATAATAGAAATCCATTTTGAACTGCAAACAAAAATAATATGTTAAAAATATTTAATAAAATGATTTTTTTATGTATTAAATATTTTTAGTTAATTTTTAGAGAAAAACAAAATTTTATTTTACTTTTAACGTCAATTCCACACAATATTCACTGGAAGAATTCAATTCCGCACTGAGCTGTGACTGAAAGTGCTTTCGTATTTAAAGCAAATGGACTCTCCGAAGAATTGTTGATAAAATAAGTAAAAAATACACACAAAATACACAAAAATCAATACAAATTTTTTTTTTACTATTTAATCACATTTGATATAAATTTAAAATATAAACACCCTTACATATTTATATGGAAAGGTTTTAATCTAAATCTTCGGTATCAGTGACGTGGTAAATTCTTATCGGAATGAAGTGATTAACTAATGTTTATTTATTAGATAATGTAAACCATAATTCCAATCATTTTCATACACGACAATATAGACAATATTACATCGTGATATGAAATTGGTTATGAGCCACAGAATGGAAATGCAGACAATACATATAGAAGAGTAGAACTAGGTAAAATCCATTAAACTCATTTTCAAATTCCAGATATAGCCACAACGAATACATATGAAATATGAATGTCCCAATACCAATCTATCGCGTTGAAGGTGCGGATCACTTACACTTTATGAAAAGAGATCATACTAGGAGTAACGTCTTCAATATCTGCAATTATATTGAGCAAACATTAAAAGAAGTGAAACTCTATAAAGATAGCAATTATCAGATATTTTCTATCTCTTCTAATCCGAAGCTATGACATCAGCTGTTCAAAAAGTCCGTAACCCGTTCACATTTCTTTGTATGGTTTCAAAGAATCGAGTCAGGTCTTGAAATTTAGAGTAAAAGAACTCAAAAAGTTCAAGAGAAAAATAAACTTAAAATAACTTTAAATTTTTCGAATTCAAAGACTCAAAGATCTATGGACTATCTAAGTAAAGCCGCAAGTATTATTTGAAACCACATGCTCATGTTATAGATCTTAGAATATACTGATTGTTCAGTAATGCGTTTATTAAGCTGGTTATAAATTTTAATACATTATAAATTATACAAGTTATATTGGTTTAATAGTATGTGTACATATATGAATATAGGTAGTCGTAATAATTAGATAATGCTTTGTAGATTTCTATATATTGAGTCATCATACATTCGGTGCATTTGAAATCAAAGTCTATTATATGACTCTTTATATTTAACAAAATATTTACTTACTAAGCATTATTGTGCTATTTTAACATTTTTTTTCTAAAAATGCGATTATCTAAGTTCAACTAAAAATATAATTTGATGATATCAACTCAGTTGATAGTGTTTGGTACTTTCTTTGCAACTATTCGAAATTTAAATCCATAAATAGTAAGGATTAACTGGTTCATTTAAAAACAAATAATTGTATTGTTTAATTATTATTTTTATTGATAAGTAGTTTCCTCTGCATATCTTTGTTTAGGACTATTGCTGCAGCAGAAGAACTAGAACTAGATAAATATCTGCAGTGCTATCTTAAGAGCAAACTCTAACGGATAAATGGTTGGTTATTCATTATTTAAAACAAACCGATTTAAAAAAGTAATATACCTCTGTAAAGAAACAATACAGAAATATGCTCTATTAACCGATTTTTTATTTTTCTCCATTTTTTTGACTTATCTAACTTAGATATAAAATTGATCAATTTTAGAGTATTTACATGCCAGAACCTTGTTCTTCTTCTTCTTTTTTATTATAGGATTAAATCCTGTTTCGATACAACAATTGAATTGGATATATTTATGTGAAATTATGACATATCAAATGATTATGTTTCTGTATGTCAGAGCCAGGTGTCCAGCATTCTCGTCATCTCTTCAGCGGTCAACCGGGTAATCTCGCGACTGCTGTTTCTCTACCATTGCAATCTTTTCCAGGTGAACCTTGTTATAATATTAATAAATTAATATGTTTTTAATTCTTTTCAAATATCACTTGATTTGATACACACTTTAAAAAAAAATGAAAAGAGAATTTCAACATCTCTTGCTGCACATGTTCTACAAAACAAAAAAAAGATATAGTTCCATGACATTTAATCAATTGCCGTTTTAGTGGTCGAAATCAAAATGAAGTTCCTAAGTCAATACTTCACAGACAGAATAAGGAACAACACGATTTAATATATCTCCTGAGGAACCATGGTTTTTAATATACCTCCAGTACAGTCTTATTAAAGTCAGATGTATTATAAAGTATCCAGAGTGGTTGAGACTCGGTAAGTATTTTTTTGTTTAAGATGGTGTGAAATAAATTTATTATTTTGTATTGAAAAACATCATTATTTGGTTAATTATTATTTTAAAAATTGCTGCTGAAGGTAATCTATAATTAAGATTTTGAATTTAATTTTTTTCAAGTAGTTTTGCATCATATAAAACTAAAGACTAAAGAACTAAAGAATAATTTTAAAACTTTTGTAAGTGTAAGAATAAAAACATTACATTCAAATTTAATTTTGTGCATTTATTTTGAGGATATACTATATAACTATAATATTCAATATTATAATATTTTTTAAATAATATTTTTGAGCTTATAAATAAATTTTAAACATATTTCCACATCTAAACAAACTAATTATTTTTCATTTGATCAAATAGCTTTTTAGCTTCCAAGCAAGCAGCCCAATTATCATCAAAACCAGGAACGGTTTCCTTGGCATTCTCCCACCATTTATTAACATTAGGGAATTTTGTAATATCAACTCCGACAAGTACAAGAGTAGAAACAGTAGCTACCAATGCAAGATCAGCAATAGTGATGCTATTACCAGCAGCATACGTTTGTCCATCCAAAAACGTATCGAAGAATCCTAAAGCTACTTCCATTTGTTTGAACTTCTCCGGATCAGCTGGTTGTTTAAGTCTATATTGCGGATAGAAATAGTCAGAGAAGCTTTTGTATAAGGTGCCCATATCAAAGTATAAGCGCTGATTGACTACTGCACGTGTTTGGGGATCTTTTGGATATAATGAATCGTCCTTGCCATATTTTTCAACCAGGTAACCCATAATGGCACGAGACTCCCAGATTGCAAATCCATTATCAACTAAAGTTGGAATTGTGTGTTGTGGATTTATCTTCAAATATTCTGGGGTAAGATGTTCACCTGCCATCAAGTTTAAAGGTTTTTTGTTAAGTGTCACTCCAACTGCTTTGGCTGTCATTTCAACAGAACGACAAGGAGCTGAAGCGGGCATATAATAAAGATCCATCTTGAACTGTAAATATTAATATAAAAATTTATTTAAAATATAATTCATAGAAAAGTATATTTTTAGAACGCAAATAAAAATGATATCATACGATTTATTCAATATACGCAAGTCATGTTTCTACTATAATATATAATTATTCTAAAACTAAAACTAAAAAGAAAAAAAAATTTTTTTTAAAAAACAATAAAAAGTTAATTTATCTTATTTGGCTATAATTATCTCTATTTTATTTAGTTGCTAGAATAATTATTCAACATAAATTTACTTTTTTAATTCGGAGATTCCACACCACTCGATGTTGACTGCAAAGAATTCAATGTAGTACTGAATTGGGTTCGTGAGTTTGTTCGGTATTTAAAGTACTTTCAGTCCATGGAGAGTATTTTTTTTTGATGTGGAAAACATTAATACAATAACAAAAATCGATAAGTATTTTTTTCGCAGCTAAATTATATTTGATATAATTTTAATTGAAATACTATTTGTACTGAGTTTTTATGAATGACATCTTGTAACGAACATGTTGGGGGGGACTCAACTACAAAAAACATATTCTTTAAACTGTAAGGAATCGATTGCTTATAGGAGTATACAATTTATATAATTCCAATTATGACATAGACATACTCTAAGTATTGTATTGTAATTAAATAAAATACGAGAGACCTGTAAGACGCTTACTTCCTAATCAATCAGCAAAACTTTAATGAATTAGTTTGAATTCATCTTATAAAGATCAAGAGACTTACTCAGCCCAAGATACGATATCTTTAATATGGTGGCTTTTATAACTGGTAACTGACTATTTGTTAAACATGCTCTCAGATTCAGAGCACCCTTCAATGAATATTGTTGTAAAGCTGTAAAGATGAGGAGGAAAAAGAAACAGTAAAACATATTTTTTGTAGCTGACCGGTACTAGCTAGAAGTGGAGAAATTTCTGACGCAAACATAACAAACTCTCTAATAGAGGTGTAAAAATATCCTGTACCTTATAAGAACTTTAAAATAGTTCCCAGTTAACCCAGATAAGGTATTAGTATTTCTCATTAAATTCTAATGACTGAGTTAGAAATGAGGAATGGCTTTCAATTTTGAAATAATTTGCTTATTAATGCTCACACCAAACCAATTACTTTTTTTTTGTTTTTTGAAACTAGGTAATATAACGTTTTTCTAGGGCAATTATTGGCACTACAACTAATGTACACCTCTTTTCTTCATTACAGTATTCTTCCAGTTCTTAAAATTTCTCGCAATCGTTTCCTAATCATTGAAACCACATAATCTGACCACTAGTAAGAATAGTAACATAGGTAAGTAAAGCAGTTAAAGTATTGTGTTAAGCAGCGGTATCGAAATGGACCCGAAGCAGGAATATAGATTTCTCTGCCTGTAGTGTCTAAGTAAGTTGGTCGATTGGCCGACTGGAACATTGACATAAATTAATCTAAGCTAACCGGTTTGTGAACGCTTCAGGTCGTTGATTCTTTGAAACACAGTTTTTAAGCCACTGATTTAACTGTTGTGCTACATGGCTAGCCCATCTAATTCTCTGTGACTTTATTCACACTTCCACGCAAGTATCTTGTAACAAAGTCAGAGCCTAAGCATTTTGTTTTAATGGATCTTGATTGCCTTGATTTTACTATTACATGGCCAGTAATTCTCGTGATGAATTTTCGGATCAAAAAACAGAACAACTAGTGCTATGTTAAATTGAATAAAGAAGATTTTTACTTATTAAAAAACCAAATATTTCTTACAACAAATATTTGCGTCACAAGAGGATGATTTTTTTTACAAATCATTATTCATGACAGTGCACAAATTCCGCCATGCACCCAATATACCAATATACTAATGTGTGATATATAGATAACATTTTTATTACAATAACTCGGTCGATAATTTGCCTTAGTCAAATACAAACTAATGACTCAATTAGACAGCGTGGTTTGGTATTTTAGGAGATAAAAGCAAACTGATAATTTGAACAAATTATTTATAAGTCGATAATGTTAATAGAACATTTTTGCTTGTATTGTAGTGGAGTGACATGAATTGGTTGGTTAAAAATAAAATAAACTTATTGATTTCTATGAAGTTATTTTCCATAAAATAGAAATATGAAGACTCAATTTTTGAAAACATCCCCTTAATAATGGTTCTTATTCCAATTAGTCGTAAGCTCATCTAAGTGTATCGTTCGCTCTCTTTTTGCGTACATATTGCACTATAACATTTTATAGTTCATACGAACACATATATAGTTGACCTTATGATTTTTATACTCTACTAATCAATATAAACTTTATTCAGAAATAAATTTTTTTAAACTCTTCAATTTGAGAGCTTGAAGTTTCGTATGCAATGAAATTCTCTATCTAAATATCGTAATCTGCTCGGACTGACATACTCCTATTAAATCTCCAATAAGCACTACAACTATATCCTTAGAAGTTGAAGAAGGCCGGGCTTGTGAGTGTCCACCTCAGATGGTACCTACCTAAACACAACGACATTTCGGGCAAAATCAGGGCAAAAGGCTTGCCAAGACAGGTACTCTGCTTTCTGACAATTATTCCTTCTGTATTGGTATGCCTCTTGTAACAGTTATGTTGACAATTAAACAAAAATATTTAAGTGTAGCTAAAACAACCTGGACAAATGAAAGGTTTTGTCAGTTCTAAAGATCCACTGGATCCCAACTTGACCGTAAATATACTAGTCAGCTACTTTAACTCAAACGGAATCTGCTCAATACTGTGATATTGGTGCTGACAGGTTTCTGCAAACTAAGAAGACCTACTTGGTCTACCCCAGTATGACTTTTGTTGTAGTTGTAGCTCTGAAGAGCGTATTTCATCCTCATTATCAAGGTCATAGAAATTATATGAATAACCGTGCTATGTTTTTGCGGTGCACAGCTTATATAGTACATCTTAAACTGTTAGCAAGTAATTCCAATTCAATATGTCTTCTTTAATGTTCTTGTATTAGAAACATGTAATATTATTATGTTTTTTATTATTTAATACTCCTTAATAATTCAGCATTCAGTAGTTTTGTTGTATAAAATCAAAAATAATTTAATTCATGTAATAAAATCCTTTTTATTACTTTAATAATTTAATATTATTTAACAAAATAACAACAAAAATGTTATTAAAAATTATAAAAATGCAAATTTCTTACATTTATTTACTTTTAATAACTATTAAACTTAAGGTAATCCATCAAAATACTTCTTAAATTCTTGACAACTAGCCCAGTTCTCATCCCAACCAGGAGCAACGCTCTTAGCATTATTGTACCACTTAGCAACATTGGCATATTTGCTAATATCAAAACGAGCTATATCGAATGTTGAAACAGTAGCCAATAAAGCAAGATCCGCCACAGTAAGACTGTCACCTACAACATACTGTTGACCCTCCAAAAATGTATTCAAAAAGCCAAATGCAGTCTCTATTTGCTTAAACTTTTCTGGGTCAGCCGGAGTTTTGGCCATTATTTGTGGATAATAATAATCAGCAAAGCTTTTGTACAAAGTACCCATATCGAAGTACAAACGTTGATTGATAACGGCACGCTTTTTAGGACATGTGGGGTATAAAGAATCACTTTTTCCATACTTCTCAACTAGGTAAACGCAAATTGCGCGTGACTCCCAAATGGAAAATCCATTATCAACTAACGTTGGGATGGTGTGTTGAGGATTTATTTTAATGAACTCAGGCTTAAGTTGGTCACCAGCTTGCAAGTCCAAAGTTTTCTTATTTAACTCAATTCCAAGAGCTTTAGCAGTCATTAGAACTGAACGGCATGGTGCTGAAGCGGGTACATAATAGAAATCCATTTTTGATTGATTTTTGAACTTAACTGTAATGAGGAAAAGTTTATAATTAGTAGTTTAATGTTATTTTAAAATAAAAAATTATTTTTTCCCCATTACTTTATATATGTATAATATTATGTTTATGTATATATTTCTGTTTTAATTACAGCTTTCAATTCAGTTACTCGTATTTATTTATGTAAATATATATAAAAGTCTAAACGAAGCAATAAAATAAATAATCAAAATTAATCGAAAATAAAGTGCTTGTAAAATGCACTTAAAAT